GTGTAGAATCAGTGATTTTTTAATGAGGAAATTTAATTTTGATGATGACCAAGATATGAAAATTTCTCTAAGTTCCGTTTGTATTGAAAAAGTTGTGTATGATGAAAAGTTGCGAAGTGTAGAAAAGATGTACTGTTTTCGTGTAGATTGTCGAAAAGTTTGTTGAATTTAAATTTTCTAAAAGTTCTTAATAGTTTTTTGAGGATCTACATCTGCTTTAGCACAATATGTCCTAAGTAGCAGTTAATACCTTGTAAGAAGTTAAGATCAGGGCTTGGTAGAGCATTTGGTAGACATGGAAAAATACCTTTCAAAGGATTTCGTTAGGTTTAAGAAATCAGTAAGGGTAGGGAACATTGATCTCAATTCTGTTGAACTGGAAGTTTGAAGTATTTATGAAACACTAAAATGTTGATTTTGAATTAAATGAAACCAAAATAATATACATTTATATATTTTCCCACAATTTGATTTAATAGTTACCATAGTTAACTTATGGAACTATGATGTATTAAGAACAAGAGCATTTTTTTTATTCCTGTTGTTTTGCATGTGTTACTTAGGCCTATATTAGAAACACAGATCTAACCATATCTTTTCAATGAACCTGCATATAATTATAATTGTTTTATGTACTCTTAAGATTTGCGAAAAATAAAAAAAAGACCACAAGACAATATTTAGTTCCTTTCTTTTATTTATGAAGCCATTCTATATATAGACTAGAAGTTCCCTTTACTTTTATTTTCTCTACTTATAGATATTACCCTATTTCTGAATATTTGAAAATAGTCATGCATACATCAAAAGACTTCTACATGTACGTTTTAGAAAAATTACAATTGTTCCTACATTGTGAAAAGCAAGAGGGCACTTTAAATTGAAGTCACATCATTTCTGTAATTATAATATATTAATTGAATCTTTTTGATTTAGAAATAGAAAGTGATAAAATTTCTAAATTCAAAAGACCTATGGAGAAGTGTATCAAAATGTCTACACTTTTACCCTATAAACATGTACATAAAGATACATTCAATATCACAGAAACATGTTCCTTAATATAAGAAGTTCGGTAATTGACACCCAAATGTAGACTGTCCACTCACATCAAATCATTCACAAATACCGAAATGACATTGCAATTGCAGTCAACATTGCTGATAAAGGATCAGTGTACATGTAGCACTTCGATTGTCTATCTTGTCCAATGTCAAGAATGCTCCAGTCCATTCCCATGTAAAATAGCACCAAACATCTGGGGCCCAGATGCATTAGCACTATTTGTCTCTCACATCATTTAAAGGATTGTCCACTACAGATTGGTGAATCATAATAAATAAGGGGACATAAGTCAAGAAGTCTAGAAGGTCCAGGGATTTAAGATGTGACAGTTTTTCCCGCACCTCTCGCTCATGTTTTTCACTCACTCCGCCGGCTCTGAGCTCGATACATAACTGATCTATTGATATTCTGTTGGTTTCTTTGTCCACATTGCACTCCCAAAGTGTCTGTGAAAAAAAGGTAAAGGTGATTAACAATGATTTCATAAATAATTGTGATGGCAAGGAATCTTTGTAATGCTCCAAACTCCTTTAAAAATGTTGATAATTTTTTAAAAAATTGAAATAAATTAGTAAGAACATAAAATCATATAAAATTTCTTACTTTGCAAAGGAATGTTTTCATTTCCAAGATTCTAAAATCCATCGAGTCTATAAGCAGTTTCATCCAATCACTGAAAGAAATAGACAAACATTTTGCAACTTCTGCTATTTCAAATCTGGAATATTTATTTTCATTGTAGTTGCAATCTGAATTTGTCAAATCTAAAGGTAAATCTAAATGTATACAAGAATTTCTTTGACTCACTCTACTGCAGAAATCCTGTGTGAGAGAGCAGCCAGCACAGAAAAAAGTTTGAAGTCAGCACCTTTAGAAATGTTGTAGCCAGCAATCTCCAATATCTGAAAGATATTCAAGAGTATAATTAATTAAGAAAGGTCCATCTCAAAACTGACAGCTAAGTCTAGTCATAAAATACCTTTTTGTGACAATTCTAAGTATAAATATTTGAATGATTTTTACATCTAAAATTCCAAAACAACGAAAGGTGATATGCTACTGATTTAAGATTTTCAGATAACAGGCAAATCTATGCACATATAAAATTAATGTTTTGATATTTACTCTATACAGATATTCTTCCTCCTGCATGGTCAGTCTGTTGTTAACTCCCCTTAAAGCTATCATGGCTTCTATTCCATTCAACCAGCCTTTACCTTCATCATCAACCTGTAAAATTTTACAAACAAGATAAATTATAGGATATAATTGGTCATTCTATAAAATACATGAAGATGAAATTAATGAAGCATGTAATGATGAATTCTCATTCTGACAGGTGTTTTTCTTTTCAATCCCGAGACAAGAGGCGAGCTAGGCCACATATTTAAGATTTGTGGTTTTTAAAGACAACCTTGATTTGTAAATAAAAGCATAACATACCACATCAAATGTCCTTTTGTACATTTCCAAGCTTCCTCTATTGAAAATACAGTACTTTGCTAGGAATCCATCTGAAAAAATTAAATAAATTCCACTGATCATTCAAGATTACTTTTACCCAAATCTAGCCAAAAAAAAAAAAAAAAAAAAAGCACACACAGAACTCCTTCTAAAATGATGCTTATAGTTTTACTTTCATGGTGCTATTTTATGATGTAACTAAATGCAAGATTAAGGAATACTTTTTTTCAAATGCATCAATATATTAACAGTCAAATCTTATTATCTAGAAACTTGATGGGAGTAAGAAAAAATTCAAGCTATCTGTGGATTCTAAATATTGAGGTACATGCAAGTACATAAATAAAAAGTTGAAGGAACTTCCAGCTCACTTTGGCAAATCCAACACCCATAAGGTAAACTTGTTATGAGACATTGATGTTGCATAAGTATTTAGCACTATGCATTTCCAAATAAAAAACAATCTCTTTATGAGGATCAATAACAAAAAGCACATTCATGGGTTTAAAATGCAATGCTCAATCAATTGTTGTCACTTGTGATAGATGTTTGTAGAGTGTTTAATGTCAGACATGGAAGTAATGGCGGCTCTTACAGCAAATTTTCTTTTCAAATATTAAGACATAGTGTAGATTTTGTAGACTATATATGAGTAATGTATCAAACTTTGAATTCATTGAAATAGAATTATCAGTGATTTACAACACATATTAAGTTTGTGAAGAGAGGACCCATGCTGAGATAATTATTAAATTCATAGAATATTGTTGTAAATTCCTTAATTATTGTAGCTTCTTTTTATTATCGTACTTCAACAATGAGCTTTTCCTAATTTCGCTTAATAATTTTTTAATTGTAATTATAAGTATATCAGATTTATAATTGTGTCAAAGAAATTTTACTTTCTTTTTATGACTTTAATCTTTCAAAAGCACTAGCTTGTATTCCTTATGTTCACATTTAAAGTCCCATTATTCAAATGTTCAATATGCATGTTCATGGGCACAGTTTAGGAACTCTATTAGCCTGAGGTAATTATACAAATGTTTCCTGCTCTGACATTATAATAAGTCTTTATTTCATCTTTTTTCAGGTTCCCATGCACTGATAAATGGTTGTCATGTTTAAATAATGCACGAAAAAGTTAACTACATCTTAGGAGGAATGACAAAATTCAAAATAAAAAAAAGTACTTACAATCATCAAAGCTAGGTACTCCATCAATATATTCAATATCGACCTCCACTTGACCCTGCCTTGATTTCATTTTCTCCAGCAGCTCCATCTGTTTTTGCCTTCTCCTTTCTAGCATTTCCTGCCTACGAAGTTCATCTTCGTAGGATGTGTCTTTTTTGAAGGATTTGCGCCTATTGTTCAGTTTCTGTTGTAACTTTATGGGTGAGGATAACAAGTTTTTGTTCTTGGTTGGGGAAGGGGTCTTGGAGGGTAGAGAGGTGTCTGGCAGTGGGGGCTCCTCAAACTTTACATGGGGTAAAGAACTTGGAATATCTGAAAAAGGTATATTTTGTACATAAATATTAAGACAAAAATTTATATCAAAATACCTGTAATCACTTAAAAAAAAAAAAAATCTTTTTGCAATGCCTATTCTCTCTCTCTCTCTTAATATTATTGAAATTTTGAGCATTTCAATTTCTTTAGATCAATTTATTGCACATGTCTTTGAATTTCAGGCATCTCCATGAAATCATTTTTCCTTCATACAAACATCTATAGGAAAGCACTACATGATGATGTTGCCTCCCTTACTGATTTACCTGTGGGTAGGTCTGGCACAGAGGGTAGTTCTAGTAAATCTGGAGTAGGAGGGGTGGGGGGTCTGGGGGGAGGAGAGGGGGGTTTGGGGGCCCGCTTCTTCTCTAGATTGAGGGTCCTATTGGCCAGTGATTGTCTTCTCCTTGATTGTGCATCAGAGGTGCTTATCTGAAAAGCATTTCTTGGAGTCAAAATATTTGTCTTTTAAAGTATCACCCTATGAAATTAAATTCATTTTTAAACTAAAAAAAAAGCTACAATACATGGGAGACCAATATTAATGTGTCATTTTTTCTGAAAGAAAATAGATGTCCTGATACATGAGAAATCCATTCACTGCAAGCTAGGTGATCATACTTACACGTGCATTGTATCCATTCTTTGTCAAAGTTCAAAGCAATTAAAATAGTGTGACAGAGAGTATATAAAGACTCCAGAAAACAGAAATCCAGAGCTCAAAATGAATATTTCATCCGCATTTCTAACTAGCATGTCATTTTGAAATTTCCAATCACAATCTTTATATGTTCATAAATGTCACCAACTAATTGAAAAATCTCTCTGACAATATTAGTTAAATCTGAAACGTTCTTACATCTTCTGATAAAAGCATTGGCTTTAATAATCTACAATAATACCTCCAGGTATAAACCAATATTGTTGGTATGCTATGAATTGTACACTGGGTACAACCTTCAAATTTATTTACTCAATTTTAGGTTGATGATCAAATTCCTAGGTTGAAAATGGGTTTTTAATGCCCGATTGAATTTAATTGAAAAGGAGAAAACAATCTATATCATTTTAATCTTGGAGACACAAAAGTTCTTTGAAGTCCTGCAAGACATCTGTGAATCAGATTTTTTGAATTCAAGATTTTCTAAATCCCTCGTGTTCAATACTGCTGGTTAAATCTTCATTTCACTCTATTAAATAAATGTATACCAAGACAGAAGTAAATAAAGACATAGAGATTTAAATTAATCCTCAATTTGTAAAGAATTATTTACAAAAAGATGACATTTCTATATATGTGTCACAATGCTAAGTGGTTTTGTGTGTCACAAGGGAAATTCTATAGTTCTATAGAAAAAAATACATTTTTTGAGATATGGTTATAAGTAAATATTAGAACAATTTGCACTATATTTGCCCTTTATGTAAGTTATCCATAATTAATCTTAATTGTGGTTATTTCAATTCAAACTCAGATTATAATATGCTTACAAAATTCTTAAACTGAATCTCAATTATTGAAAAAAAATTATATACAACATTAAATGAACCAAATTTTCAGAGTATATACAGTATTTAGCTTAATTTGACACTGTCAATCTGAACCAGTGAGAAAAAGATTTTATTGTGCAATCAAGACCATTTTCAAAGTTGTTGTGTGAAAGTGTGTGTGTGTGTCACTGTGTATGTGCCATATTTATCACAGTGATTCCCAATACCAGACTTGATTTTCAGAGGGTGATTTCCAGTACAAGTATCACAATGGAAACTCCCACCAAACTTGAGTGCATGACTTCCAAACCTCATCACTGTGGGTGGCAGTGATCCCTTACCTGGAAATCTGGGAGGGGAGGGGCCAAAGTAAAATTACTCAACTCTCGTAGAGTTTGAGAAATTCCTCCAATCGGTTCATCTTCCTGGAACCATCACACACACACACATATACAAAATCAGTAACAGGTCAGATTATGCTTGTTACACTGGTAATTACATGACTACTTTAACATATCAAATATGTCTTATGAAACTTTTCTGAAGACAAAATTAAAGGAATAAGTGGTTAGTCTGTTGCATACTGAAATGAATGATTTTGATAGGGTTAAGAATGAATATGGTGAGTGTGGATAACATCACATCAAAACAGTACTTTTCCAACTTTGTATGGGAATTTCAATACTACTGCACAAGTGTACCTGGTATATTGACTGTTAGTTACTTGACTGGTTATTTATTCAGGAGAAAGGATTTTGATTTTGTTTTCCTATGAACTCAAACAATATATATGCTTAAATTTTACTGTGTACAAAACCTCTGCAAATAAACCGAGCTTGCACTTTGTTACATAAAAGCATATTCACATCAGATCTGATCTTCTGACCAACATCACAACACAAGCTACCATAGTCTACTGGTACCTGAGTCTCTGGTTCTTTGGGCGTCTTTGGAGGTACAACTGGTTTGGGCAAAGACCGAGGCAGAGTTATTCCCTCTTTCTTAGCAGCACAAATAGATTACAGGAGATGTATTAAACTTAAAAGTATTATTTATTCTCCCAAATTCTTTTTCAAACTTTTACTAATAGGGAGTCTAATGGAAATAAAATCCTTGCTGGTAAAGTCACTTGTTGATTGTATAGAACCAGATGGACCAAAATAACATTGCATGTATAATATTCAATGAAAAAGAATTGACTTTGTTTCTCTAAAAGCTAGAATGAATACGATTTTAACTGTATGATTCAAAAACATAATACACCATCCCCAAAATAATTTTTGACAAACACACAGATGAACCTACCCTGGTCTTTTTGACTGGTTCCCTCCTCTGACTCTCAGAACCAGCTATAAGTGATAGAGGCCCCGTCTTGGTGTCACCTATTGTAGGAATTGACACAGGGGATTCCTTTCTCTCCATTTCTTGTCCGTCCTCATCTTCATCCTCTGAAATTGCAAAACAAATGAGTTTGAAATAAGGATGTCAAATGTAATATAGAAAGGGAGACTGAGAGAGAGAGAGGATGGAATGGAGAAAGAGTGGAAGAGAGGTGAAAAAGAGTGAAATAGTGGAAGAGAAAAGTTTGAGAGAAAAAGAAAAGGTGCTGGAGAGAGGAAAGGAGAACTGAAGGGGAAATGAAAGAGATGAATGAACAGAGGGATAGAAAGAGGATGGAGAAAGAATGGAAAAGACTAAATTGAAAGAAAGAATTGGAGAAAATGGATGAGAATATAGAGTGGGAGAGACTAAGAAAAAAAAATGATTGAAATATTGAAAGAGGATGGAGAGAATGTGGGAAAGAGAGGATCAAAAAGGATTGGAAGAGAGGATATGGAGTGAGACTGGGACATAGAATTGTGAGACACAATAGCAGAAAGAAAAACACAAAAATTAAGATATAAGCCACTCTTCATCTTCTTTTCACATAAATGCTCATTGTAGCAGAAAAACTGATTCACATGTGTTATTATTAAAGTATGACTGTGACTTGAATGATCAACCAATGAGCATCAGTTTTACAAATATATATAGAGTAAAATCTTGACAAAACCAAGAACACATAGACTCATGCAGTCTTTGTTACAATGTCATCTGATTTTCTTTTCTACAGCTACAGGAAAGTACTAGCAATGGTTTCTTAGGTAGGGTACATGTACACTATAATAGAGGATTCAATTTACCCAGGAAACACTTCTAATAAACTCTCTAAGGTCTAGCTGATAGATACAAATATTTTCTGGCTTTTCTGGTAAATACAATCATTATTTAAAACATCAAATCAATTTTTTGAAACAAATCAAACTCTTTGTTTAAACATACTTAAAGTATTTTATTATCCTATCAAATTTCTTTTTGAAAAGCGGTCTCTGAATGGGTTTGATACTAAAACATCATATTTTTCTTTTAAATTTATGTAATTGATAATGGCATGATAATCATTGCAAAAATGAAACTTTGTGTATAGTTAAAAGATCTTTTTTTTATTTGACTCTCAGCAGGTGTAAAAAGGTGTTCATAATGATCCACTTGAGCATGCAACAACAAGGTGTGTACATTGATTTGTGAATAAAAAGCATATGCTGCATGCAAACGGTGACCTGATTACCTCCCCCTAGTTCCAGCTGGGATATTCCAGGCAGCCGTGGAGTGTTCGGAATAGAAGAGCTAGGAGTAGGTCCCTTATTGACAGATTTCTTTTTTACTGAATTCAGCCATAAAGTAAAAAGTCAGGACAGTTAAATATAGACCTTCAGTGACACAGCTTGAGAGAGAAATGTGTCATTATAGCTATTCTATTCTACCATTTAATGAGAAGCATTCACTAATTGTGAAACACTACAAGTAATGCCAATATTGATTGTTATATTTCAAGATAAATTCAAGTACAATGTAAATCAAGTTTCAAAATAATTTATTTTGCTAAAAATAAATAATTTTCATCTGATCCCCTATCAATGCAATCAAACCTTCAAACATGAAAAACTGATAATATTGAAGCATATTCTTTGTTAATAATCTAGAATTATAATATATATATATATATATATATATATATATATATATATATATATATATATATATATATATATATATATATATATATATATATACACCTGAGTCTCCTTTGCTATTTTTAGGTTTGCGGCTGTTGGGTTTAGTGACTACTTTTGTCTTTGGTTTGCTGCCTTTCTTTTCTGTTTGCATCACTGATTTAACCTTTGACACACTCAGCTTGTTACTTGGGGCTGAAAGGATAATTTATTTATAAAATATCAACAACAAAAAATTATAATATCTTAAAAAAATCATGATTCAATCCCAAAATCATGATGTAAATTTCAAAAAAAGAATTTAAAAATTACCTTTTTTGACTTTTTTTGCCTCTGAAATAAAAAGAAAGGGATTGAAATCACTTTCACATGGAGAACTTTACGTAATACATGTAAGCAATACATGTATATTTCAAGTGATCAGTCATATTTTTTTTTCGAAATTAGTAAACATTCACATATAAGATATAATCTTTATTTTCTGTGTTAACTAATGAATATCATTACTCGGTAAACATGAATAATGAGGATATGATTCAAATTCAATGTTTATGATACAAAGGTGTATGACAAAACACATATTGTCTGAGAAGTATACTTATATAATAATATATACATGTACTTAATATATATAATATGTATGTTGAAAATTTAATCATATATTTTTGATACACATACAAACACACATTATTATTTTTCATATATTATAGAGAATCAAGGAGATGTTAGTGGCTCAATATGAAACTTCTTCATTTTGTTTTTAATATTCATATGGCATATATTTTTTTTATAACACACATTTCTTTCAACCATTGAAGTCTTACCAGTAAACTAGATTGAGATAGGTTAAAGGGGAACAACTCTGAAATCATACACTGATTAGCAACAACATTATATTATATTAATTCAACATGGGTTATCCCAGGTTTTGGATTAAACTTTAAGAATAAAACAGATATATTATCAAAGGTACAGGAATAATAATCAGTAATGTAGGAGGAAATACAGGTCATACAGGAATACAGGGTTGTGATGGCAACACGTAAACTTACTCCTTGGGGTACCGGGAAATGATGGCAGTGTATCAAACTGTAGCTCCTCTAATGCTTCTTCTGAATGAAGAAAACAGGGAAAAAACTTACTCTTTCTAGTGATTCAAATGATTGCAAGTTTAATCATTAATGATTTGATGATTTTCTTAATTTTGATACTTTTTAACAAACAAATAATGTTTGCATCTATCAATTCAAAATAATTTATGAAATCTGCCTCTGTCATTTTAACAGCAATTTTGTATGTTTATTTACGAACCAATTTGAAACCTTTTACAAAATATCATACCATCTTACAATAAATTCATTTGTATAAAATATCATAAAAATATATTCGTAATTTGTATGCTTTCTAGAATTATATATTGAGGTCTTTGTTAATTGAACAGAGGAAATATAATATACATGTATTCATTTCATAATCAAATAGCTGTTCACTTCAACAATATAAATGCTTTCTTTGGCTGTGATCAAGGAAATTAATGTTGTAACTGTTACCTATAGATAATATGGAAGGGAATTACCGCCAAAAGTCTATGTATCTTGCTTTTATTCTTATTCTGACTACTTCTTTATGCTTTGTTATTATTGTAATTATATGTCACTTTATTGTTTTCATATTCGTCTTTATTGCATTTCACTTTGACTTTTATCCTTCTTCATTTTGCCCTTACTTCTATGTTGCTTTATTCTTGTTAATTCATTTTACTTTCTTTTAAATTGATACAGTTTCTTAAATGATTATCTCAATTACGAACGAGAATTCAATCACACAAAGAATGAAGCATATTCAGTGAAGACGAATACAAGTTGTCAAAATTTAGTGCCGCATTATAACGCTAGGTGGCAGGGGTGTTCGCTACGAGTGATGGTAAAACTAGGCAAGCAAACCCGGGCCGGGGTTATTAAAGATTTTTCAATTTTCTGCATTAATACTTTATCAATCGAACATCTGAAGGCCGAATCCGATCACCCGATCCAATGATGGAAACTCCATATTTATTTCCTCTGCGCACACAGGAATAGCGGCCTCTTTTTTTAAAACATAACTTTATATACTGGTACTTTACTGAATATGCTAATAGAAAGGCCGACCCACTTTTTGTAAGGGTAAGGGTCAAATAAGGTTAATGTAGTATAGTAGGGATAACATTTAAATTTGATACTATAGAAGAAGTTGAATCTAACCCAAAACCCACCCGCCCCCTTAATATGATTTCATTGGCATCGGAAGCAAAGTGAAAGTTGGGCTGGGGGGGGGGGGAGCGTAAGAAATAGTTTTTAGACCTTCAAAAAAACTTGACAAGCAAAAAAAAAAAAAAAAAGAGAAATGTCCACTGACCAAACACAAAAATCCTATATCGCGTGTGTGTGGTGGTGGTGGTGGTGGATGGGGGGTGGTGGGTTCAAATTTCAGTGCCAATTTCTTTTTTTCAAAACACCACCACTTTCCACATTTAAAACCTATGCTGCATCGAGTCCATGGAAAGTATGTGTGTGTGTGTGGGGGGGGGGGCTAAACCTACGCAGTAATGTTCAATGTCTATACTAAGTCTAACTTTGGGAAAAAGTGGGGGCTAAGCCCCCTCTCTCTGCGGTTCCGACCGACGCCTATGTATTTTCAAGTTTGGACAATTTCCTTGGTTTTTTGTTGTTTTTTTTTTTTGTTTTGTTTTGTTTTGTTTTTTTTTTTTGCTTGTCAAGTTGTTTTCAGCGGATAGCTTGAATTTTCAAAAACGATGCTACGTCACTGTTCTCTCGCCTGAAAAAATATCACTCTACTAAAGTAATTTGTTAGATAATTGAATTCCCGTTTAACAGTTTAATTGACATAAAAATGTTAAATATTTTGATACTAGATGCCCCTTTATAAATTTATAAATTGAGTTGTTTTTCAGGACATTCCCAGGCGTGGATCTAGGAATTGAAGTTAGAGGGGCGCCAAAAGAAAGCAAGGGGTCTGGAGGCCGCCTTGAGGCTCCCAGTAGGTCAAGGGCAAAGCCCTGGTGGGGGCTCAGGGGGCGAACCCCCGAAAGCTCCTGGGTTCTAGAGATTTTGTAGGGTAAAAATGAGGTTTACCAAGTAGGCATATTTACATTTTCTAGACGAAACTGTGATTTATGTTAACTTTGACAATTTTAGGGGGGTGGGGGGCGCCGGATGCGCCCCCTCCTTAAATCCATCACTGGTTCCACTGAACTGAACTTTATTTCACGACAGATAGATAGTAATTGCTCATGCGTGTGATTCTAGGGACGGGGCTTTGCAAAGAAGTGAGGAGTGTTATTGGTAGGCAGAGTTGGAACCAGGCTACACCCAGGCATACTAGAAACTCCCCAGTCTTTTTTCATGCATTAATATTTTATATTGAAATAGCACTTTTTAATAAAGAAAAGAAATATCTTTTAGTACGCACCGTATTATACATCAGCCAGGAGAGTTAAAAAAATCTTAAAACTTGAAAATTCTATATTTGGTGGTGGTGAGGGGGGGGGGGTCGTCAACTTTTTTTCAGTACCAAATATAACTCATATGTACATATGCCACTAAGTACATGACTACTTTAATATATGAATTGACTACATTGTATTAGCATGTGATTAGTACTGCAACAAAAAGTGCAAGGGATGGGGCAACAAGCCTTTCGCTGAACTTTTCCAGTAGTAAAAAGTATGTTACGTTTAGGAAAATGTTTCGTGGCATCCTCCCCTCTACCGGTGAAACTTACCCCATAGGAGGTCGTACAGACGGAAGTCAGTATATATATTGAGACTTGGGGGTATGATTGTATAACGTCCCTTTAAATTGGAGAATTTTTAACTCAAATGGAGAAGTCACCTCTTGGCGGTGGATAGCTGCAAATTTGTCCTATATACTCGGCACTTATAGCCATTGGGCAGTGAGGGATCTTTTATCGGGCCAGCACCTACTGCGATACGGGACCTCGGATAATACGCTCTAGATCTCATCCGAAGGACCGAACTCCACGTCCCATAGTGGGATTCGAACCCACGACGTATTGATTGACTCCTTACTACTGTGTTTCGTGACCCTATAGCAGACGCCGTAACCACAGTGCCACGCGGGCAATTGCACCCGAGTGGAGGGGCATCCGGGGGGTGGGGGGGGGGGCGGAATTCATTATCCATTTGTACTCGTGAAGATTATCTATGTTAAACTAAATGGTTAAAATTATTTAATTATTAACCACTATTAAAATGGTTACATTTAAACATTTATTCATGTAGGACGTATAACTTAATTTTCTTAAAAAACTGAAAACGTTAGCATATAAACATTGTTTTACGATTTAAAAAAAAATATTCGGGGGAGGGGTTGCTATGAAGGGGGACGAATTGCTATATACAGCTAGATTTCCCACGGAAGACTAGCTATATATTGAAACTTCCCCGGGGGAAGTCTCACTGAATAGTCTTCCGAAGGAAGCATCACTATGTAGTCAGTCTTCCAGGGGAAATCTTACCATCTTCCGAGGGAATGGCATTATCGGGTACATACCTGAACTTATAACAAACATCATTTGAAAATTTAAGTTAGATTGATAAAGTATTAAGGCAGAAAATTGAAAAATCTTTAATAATCCCTGTCCGGGTTTGCTTACCTATTTTTACCAACACTCGTATAGCGAACACCCTGCCACCTAGCGTTATAATGCGGCACTAAACTCGGACAACTTACATTCGTCTTCATTGAATTTAGTGCCGCATTATAACGCTAGGCGGCATTGTTTACATGATTGAATGTACGTTCGTAATCGAGATAATCAAGATAGTTTATTTAAAAAACAATATCAAATTAAAAGAAAGTAGAATGTATTCACAAGAATAAAGCAACATAGAAGTAAGGACACTATAAAGAAAGATAAAAGCTCAAGTGTAATGTAATAAAGACGAATATGAAAACAATAAAGTGACATATAATTACAATAATAACAAAGCATAAGGAAGTAGGCAGAATAAGAATAAAAGCAAGATACATAGACTTTTGGCGGTAATTCCCTTCCATAAGATAAATACAAGTATGACTTTTGTAAACAATGTATTTGGCAATGACTAAATTTTCCATATGCAGACTAATTTGTACAGAAGGGTGTTTTATTATTTATAATTATACATGTAATCTGTGTAAAAAATCATATTAATAAGTAGGATTATGTACATGTATATAAAATATTGAATTATCAATAAGTACAATGCACATCACTGTATTTTTCATTTATGGAAAGATCATGCATTTGAATATAGGAATTACA